TCCACCGATCACTTTCCATCCCTATTTAAACCCCTGGCAGACGCTCCTTCATTGCCAGAGCATTATATGCATTTATCCTGTGATTTCAGCGCTGACAGTTATCTGTGCTGTTGATTCCCTTTGTTATGTTGATGTCGTGCTAGACGTGACTTAGTTTCTGTGCATTTGATTTCTTTGTTAAGTTGGTGCAGCCACTCCTATGGTGATCTTCCCTTGCCGTGATTATCTCCGGCGAGTTTCCCTGCCATGAGTATCGGACGGTGATCCTCCCAGCCGTAGATACCTGACAGTGAGTGCTATAGCAAGCGCTACGCCTATCTTGTGTTCTAGTTCCTGTGTCCCTCCTTTCACCTCACCTGCTGCTGTTCTCCTGTCTACGCACCTGCCCGTCCTGGTCCTTTGATTCTCCTGACTCCTGCAGTCCACCTGTCTACTCACCTGCCCATCCTGTACTCCCTAGCCTCCGTTACTCCACCCTGGTTTTGGACTACATATATACTCGTGACTGTTTGTGTTCTTAATAAATCCATTTTTTTCACTAGCACCTGGGCTTAAACCTTGAGTCCTCCCTTTGTTCTCCCTCACCCCCCTGGTGAAGGGACTCATCCTTAACAGCATGTCTTAAAGACATAAAGGCCTGGATGACCTGTAACTTCTTACTTCTAAACTGACAAAACTGAAGTCATTGTTCTTGGGCCTGAAAGCCTTAGAAATCTGCAGTCTAATCATATAGTTACTTTAGATGACATTGCTCTCGCCTCCAATACTATTGTGAGAAACCTTGGAGTCATTTTTGATCAGGATATGTCCTTTAAATCACATATCAAAGGTCAAAGTGTTTATTTGTCATATGCACAGTTAGGAAACTTGTTTCCCTGTACAATAAAATTCTTACTTTGCCAACAGCACAAATGCCACGAAATATAATGTACATAAATAAGTAACACAAAATTTAAGGCACTTTAGGCAGCAAATGCAGAGATATAATAAAAATATATAAGAATGTAATAAGAGAATGTATGCTGCATGGGAGCAGCATGTGCCGCAGTCAACAGTCAGTGTGCAAATATGCATGTGCAAACTGAGAATGTAAACAGTACAGGTTGACAATACATGACGCATTTCCAGGTAATAAACTCCTCAGCTGTTTAGGAGTCTGATGGCAGAGGGAAAGAAAGAGTTTTTCAGTCTAGTGGTCCTGCATTTCACACTTCTGAACCTCTGGCCAGAGGGTAGGGAGGTGAACAGTCCGTGCTGGGGGTGGGTGGGATCTTTGAGGATGGAGGCAGCTTTCCTACGCACCCTGCGGTGGTAAATGCTCTGCAGAGAGGGCAGTGGAGTCCT